GGGGAGCACCTGGGAAACGCGAAGGTGGATGAAAAGCTGGACATGAGCCGGCAGTGTGCGCTGGCAGCCCAGAAAGCCAACCGTATCCTGGGCTGTATCCAGAGAAGTGTGGCCAGCAGGTCGAGGGAGGGGATTCTGCCCCTCTACTCTGCTCTGGTGAGACCCCACCTGGAGTGCTGCATCCAGCTGTGGAGTGCCCAGCATCACAAGGACAAGGACCTGTTGGAGTGCGTCCAGAGGAGGCCACGGAGATGCTCAGAGGGCTGGAGCACCTCTGCTATGGGGACAGGCTGAGAGAGTTGGGCTTGTTCAGCCTGGAGAAGAGAAGGCTCTGGGCAGACCTTATTGCAGCCTTCCAGTACCTGAAGGGGCTACAAGGAAGCTGGGGGGTACTTTTTACAAGGGCCTGTAGTGACAGGACAAGGGGGAACGGGTTTAAATTGAAAGTGGGGAGGGTTAGATTAGATATCAGGAAGAAATTCTTCACAGAGAGGGTGTTGAGGCACTGGCACAGGTTGCCCAGAGAAGCTGTGGATGCCCCATCCCTGGAAGTGTTCAAGGCCAGGCTGGATGAGGCTTTGAGCAACCTGGTCTAGTGGAAGGTGTCCCTGCCCATGGCAGGGTGGGTGGAACTTGGAGGTCCCTCCCCCCCCAAACCAGTCTGTGATTCTGTGATTCCTTGGCTTCCCCTTCCTGCTGGATCAGCCACCCAGACTGGCTCTGTCCTGGCTGGAGCGAGGGGGCGCAGGGATTCCTGGGTGGGGAAGGGGCTTCTCTGCTCAAGCATCCTGAAGGAAACCATAGTCCTGCTGCCATCTGCCCCGACCAAAGCAAAATGCTTTGAAAAGCACAGCGAGGGCCATGCTGGGCTTCGGGGGAACCAGCGAGGGATGGTAGAGGGGGCCACACTCCATAACATCGCTTCACCCCCCACCAGGGACGCTGAGGCACGCAGAGGTAAGAGCAAGCATCTACTTGGGGGCGATGCTTGCAGAGCCAGGGGTCCTCGCCTGCCCCCATCTCCTGCCCTGTGACTTTGAGGGATTTGTGATCCTGGGAGGTGATGGTCCTGTTTTTTGGGGACCTCCTGGGCTTTTTGGTGGGTAAAATGTGGGTGACCTCCCTCCCCACCCCCACCCAAGGGTGGTGAAGGTAACCGCAGCCCTTGCCTCAGGTGTCCCTGGGGCCAGGGAATCAGCGAGTTCCTAAATTTTCCCTGTGTCCACCATCAGAGATGGTGAATCACCCACGTGGGGCAGCCGTGGGCAGCTTTAATGACCAATATTATTAGCGCCGGCCACGTTTCCCCAGCTAAATCCGTCCCTTCACAGCGGGAGCTGAAACCCACTTGCGTTGCAGGACCGAGGAGGAAGCAAAAGCCCTCGGCTGGGAAAACTTTACTTTAAAAGAACCCCAAATGTCAGCTCTAAATTGGGTGTTACACGCTCATGCTCCGTCTCTTCATTACTGTATCGTAAAATTACATTAGCTGGGAACGATCTGCATTCAAATGACTCTGTGTCTGGAATGATAACGCGGGAATATGAGATTAAAATGTAATTATGCTCTTTAAAGTCAAGGAAGGTTAATAAAATGTTTTTTCCAAGTTGCAGAGGCTCCGCAGCCGCAACGCAGAATCACTTACGGGAATCAAGGGGAGGATGAGGTGGGAAGGGGGAGGCAAAACAAACAAAAAGAAGTGTAGAAAACAGAAAAACAGGGGTTTGGGGATGAAAATTTGGGTCAGTTGGGGTGAGTCATGGGGAAGTGATCTCAGGGTGGTGGGCAGGCAGCTGGGAGCATCCTCGCTGGGCAGCGATGCTCACTGGCACCCGACCACAGCCTCGGGCTGATGCTGGGACCCCCATCCAGCTCCTGCTCCATCCTTTGGTGTACTGGAAGCTGTGCCCCAAATCCCCCAACATCACCCTCGGGGTCCTTTCTCCGCATCCCTGGCACCTGATTTGCTCTGCCACGTCCCTGCTCTTCCCCAGGCTCTTCCCGGAGCCCCAGAGGAGCCCCCTTCGTTAGCGCTGATCTCCTAACGATATGTGAGGCGGG